AAGCTTTAACTAATGTAAAATCAGATATATATTTAGACTGTTTTTCTGGCGCATCGATTGCCTTCATGCAGTTAATTTCCAATAATTTCCTCCATCGAAGCCATCCGAATATGTCCCTGTAAGGAAATTCGAAAAACGAAATTCTTGTATTGGCCCCAAAAACCTCAGAGACCTCAACTTTCTTAAAAGATATAGTCCACCTGCCTAGAGTGGCATTACCTTTGGCCCTCCTAGCACCAACCCTGTCAGGCAATCTTGGAGTTATCTGTTGATCCCAGGACATGTCATTTAAATTCCCATATAAAGCAAACCTCCCCTTAGGACTGGGCCTTCCTTTCATTTACCGTAGATTAACAAAAATTAGGACCCCCACCATCCCTGTCACAGACCGGATGCAGAAAAAACTAATCGCCATGCCATTTGTTAAGCTTCTAGCCCCTGGGATACTGTAACTACCTTATTATCAGGCTGCCCCAAATTAAGTCCATTAAGACCGCCTCCCCAAATTAATTGCCAGAACGACTGCCCAGCCACAGTACCTGACAGGAACTAGGAAAAGAGATCAACCATCCAGCCTTCTAATGCCACTGGCTCCTTGTAAAATTTCAGAAAATAGAATTTTAAAATCCTCCTCCCCTCCCCACCCTAAACAAAGCTCTTCATGGTCAGGGCCCCCTTTCATATCCTTCAAAGAGCTCATAAAAGGCACTCTAGAACACCCTGCGTTCTCCCTGAATGCCAGGGCTACTTGTGGTTCCTTTAGTCTGCTAAAAAGTAGAAACAGGGAAGCCAAAGAGCCTTTAGTTAAGCCCAAAGCTCCTCTCCAAAAACTTTTAAGAGTAGCCCTTAAAAAGACGTCCTTTTGATAAAGCCTAGACTAATCGGGGAAAATCTCCATGGTGGCACTGAGAAATCCTTCCCTCCCTTCCTCTCCTCTCTCTTTCGCAACTCAAATTCATGTCTAAATTAATGCTGTTACTAACTTCACTTGCTTCCGCCCCCCGGATTCTTGTGCTTCTCCGTCTCCGGCAGCTTCTCATTTGTTCATAATATCGTTGTTATCGGTCGTCGTGCATCATCTTTTTTCATGGTTCATCATCAAAAAAAATCAGTCAGCATACATTAGAGAGAGAGAGAGGGAGGGAGGGAGAGGGGGGGAATCATTGCAACCTCATTGGGGTGGAGCTTTAAATATTACCAGGCAGTCTGGTCCCCAAAGAAAGAAAAAAAAGACTACAATATAGTAAAACAAGCCAAGACAAAGAATCACAAATATAACAGCAAAACTTCAATCTTTTATTAGGCCGATGCTAAAGGAGGCAGAACATTACAATAGAATATGATACAGTCAATTCAAACTCATCATTAAGTATTACATACACATTGTGATTACTATGTGAAATAAAAGGAGATTATAGAAAACCATACATGCAGCTTCCTGTGATATATTTATTTGTTCATTGCAGCCCAATGTGAATGACTGGTATTACATAACAAAACTTTTCCAGTGGTTTTCATGGCAGACATTTTAACATGTCATGACAGGAAATGTGCATGGGTAATTAATATCATTAACAATGGCTGCCAGTTCCAGTGCTGCAGTCTCTCTGGGAATAGAGCAGAGCCATCGTTCGTGTCGTTACACTTTTTCTTCCAAATGTGTGCTGGAAAGAAAGTCTTATTTCATCAACCTCACAATGTAATGAGGTTTGACTTAAAGGTGGAGTAAGTGTTTCTGGAGAAATCCAATACCATGACAAATACAGGGTTGGGAGAGTTACTTTAAAACTTAAATGTAATCCAATGCAATTACTAATTATCTGTTGTAATTTAATCCAATCCACAATACTGAAGTAACGTAACTTGATTACTTTCCTTTACTTTTGGATTACCTCAACAGCAAATAAACACAAGAGAAAAAAAAAAATCAATAAGATGACGTGTATTCTATAAGACAACAGAACCTGTAACCTTAGAAAAGACAATGGAAACCAAAAGATTTAGCATCAAAAATGTGTCCTTTGCTCGGGTATTTTAAAACTAAAACTGATGTTGATATAGAGCAAACAACAACACAGAAGGTAATGTAACGTTAGCTATATTGTCGCTCTGCGGCTAAGGCTGGAAATATACTTGCTTATAACTACGTGTTCGCATGATGGCTGCCTTGTGTGTCCCGCATCCGCTTGAACCGATGGTTGTGCAGCCGTTGGGTTTTTAGTGCTTTTTGACACCTCAGATTAACAAATTGATGTAAATACTGATGTGTGTGGTCAAGAAAAAAAAGTATAAAAGTGTTATTGTGTTATAAGAATAACCTTTACATACCTTTACTACATGCTACCTTTACATGTTATGTAGTTTGAAAGTAATAAACGCAAATATTGAAAAGCATTTACTATTACCTTGACTACTAAATTAAAAACGGCATTTTGGTAACTGATTTAGGACTCAAACCACAACATTTAGGATTTTACTCAGGACTACTTGAGACTTACTGTGTGTGTGACTTTGTCCCTCTTTTATTTCTATACTCTGAACAACTGACATTATGTCATGCAGGTAAGTGTGTCACATGTTCAGTCTGTTTGATGTAAATAGAATAAGAAATAGTTAAACCGAGATCTCCCTGCAGAAACAGTACAGTGGGGAATGCAATGATTCGGACACTATTAGAAAGTTCTGTTTTGTTCTGACATACTCTACATGTCGAGACTAATTCAGTGTGACTAAACCTGGAAAACCCACAGACTTCCATCTTCAGCTCTGTCTCTTATCACTTTGTTGGAACTGAACTCGCTATCATGGCAGACTGACAGGCAGGCAAGCATACAGTACATGATTATTTGTAGGTCTCCTCATGGTTATGTGTGTGTGGCTCCGTGTGTGCGTAGCCTATAGGAAAAGAGGGCCCCACATTTGAAGAAGCGTGAGTCAAGAAGCGTTACCTGCCAAAGGCAATAGAGTTTGGACAAAGAGAGTTTTCTCTCAGTAAGAACACATTTTCCCGTGGCGCAGAGGAAGTACACTGTGCCTTCTAGCAGCTGATAATTCCCCTCATAAATTAACAGTGCCAGCTAATGTGCTGGATGCTGAGTGTTACTGTATCCAGCAGTTTATTTCATTAAGAGGTTTAAACAGCAACATTGTTAACAATAAAATAGTTAATTCAAGTGGACACTTGAATTGGGCACAGAAGTCTTTATCATATTATTTCCTACCTGCCCACCAAAGTTAGTTATAGTTATAAAATATGTTATAAATGATTACAATTAGAGTCATAGTTGTGAACAAAGGCTTGGGGAAATAGTTGATAGTAGATAATATGCAATATACATTCTAGGATTTATTTGTGGTTGAAAGGACATCAATCAATCTATGACCTTTATTGACCTCTATTGGCATGAAGTAAGAACTGCAATATGCCATGCCCCAACATTAAACAACCATTCAGTACATGTTGTTAGTACTACAGCCCCAAGATGGCCTTACACCTGCATTCACAGACCAACAATAATGTCACATTTTCATAATATAAACCTGTAATCTATCTTATTAGAGCAAATACAGAAACACTAGTTTTGAGGTAATACTGTATATCTGTCACTTCAGAGGCCCTCTGTGAATTAAACAGCTGATTTAGCATTGATAAAAATCTTTACAATGAGCAGTCCTATTCTAAGGGACAGTAAATAACATATTGTGTCCCTCTATCTGTTATCCCTTTACAGCAAACCATGTACAGTCAGCATTACTGTAAATAGTTACAAATTATGGCATTTTACTAGTGATGTTTTTCCTTTTGCCCAGGCAGTCGTATTCGTGTACATTTACACATGCACCCAAAAAGATTTAAAAATTAAGAATTGTTTAAAATAGTCATAGTTGTGCAATTTGCTGCATAGAAAAAAAAAAACTGAAAAAGGCAGCCAACTTTGAAACAGCTTTTTTGTTGTTCAAGAGCTTGTGGGAAACTGTGAGTTGGTTCTTGAAAGGAAACTGCAAATTGAATGCACCAGCTTGATACCAGCAACTAATAGTCTAATGTAATATGCCTATGACCTACAGACGAGACCATCAGCAAAAAGATTGAATAATTTCTATGTAGTAATTCTTAATGTCTGCCACTTACGGAAGCCGAGAGCGGCCATGGATTTTTTTTTTTATGCACTGTTATATCGTGATAATTACTTATTATCTCGTTATCTCGATATAACAAAGATCGTTTTCTCGTGATAACCTACAAGAGCTGCCACAACGGCTTCCAGTCAAGTAAACAAACCAACGTAAAGTGTAATTTACCGTTAGCCTACAGCTACAGCCAGTGGCTACGGAAGCCGTTCGTG